TGAAGTTTTAAGGAAAAACGAGACGGAATCTCTTTGCAGGCAAGTGCTGCTAATCTCCTGAGGGATCAATGTCCCTGTATTGTCTGCAAAGAAAGGCGTCCATTTTGATTAAATAGGATTTGCCAAACTTTAAAGCTGCATAGTCACTCCGCAGGGATTATGCTCTTGTGATGAACGTGATGACTGAACAGTCACGGGAGCTGATGTTTGTTCAGAAACGGCTATTACACGTCACAGGTGTTGGCAGTAATTCCATGAACGCAGGTACTGTAGGCTTTGCAGGGAATTAAACTGCAGCAGTTTAACTGAGGCAAATGCTGGCCCCAGCTTAAACCGGAGTCTGAAATCTCCACTACATCTGGCATGGTTTTCCTCTGCAGTGTAACTGAAGGTCAGTGATGCCATCGTCTTGACGAAAGTAACCAGTGAGATTAGTCCTCTAAATCCCCAGTACTGGGAGAGGGAGTAAGCTGTATAGGATTTGTATGATCGCATTATGGCTGTTTCAAGACTGCGATGGCTTCACGCCTCTGCACTGACAGAGAGGTGCAACTCTGAGGTCCGTCTGCTGCTGCTCTCATCCAATTTGGGCAGCAGCTCTTTAATTATAAGTACGGGTAACACATTAAGCTGGGTACTTCCAGGGATTTGGAGCTGTGGGATTATCAGCTTTATTAGCAACAGCCATATTTTTCTTAAATGTGATTTATTACTTTTTGTGCTCCAAAACTGCGCAGCATTTGCGAAGTACCACGCGCCAAATGTCCTTTGTTTTTGTCCTGCGTTCTGTCGAGCTCCAAACTGCTCCTCTGAAAATGATGCCGTCAGCACATTAGAAAACAGCCTGTGAGGAGGGCGAGGTTTAGGAAACCCTGAGGGGCAGAAGACGGGGGGGTGCGGCGTGTTGCTGCGTCAGCGGTAGCAGGACCCTGAGCTCGAGCATTCGCCTCTTTCCGAGGGCGTTTTGGTTTGGGTGGCAGTCATGTGACCCCCCCCCTGCCCTGTCCGACTCTCCTCTCCTCTCGTCTCCACAGGCCAGGCTGCGATCCGCGGGCTGGTGGCGGAGGGCCGGCGCCTGGCCAACGCCATGCCGGGCCCGTACCGCCAGGAGCTGCTGGGCAAGTGCGAGCGCGTGGAGCAGCTGATGGCCCAGCTGGCGGAGCTGGCGGCGCGGGGCGAGGGGGAGAGCCCCCAGGCGCGGGCCGTGGCCTCGCAGCTCCAGGACTCCCTCAAGGTAACAAGGCTGAGCTCAAGCCGTGGGCTGGGAGAAGATGCTTCCCCGGCGCCCCCTGCTGGCTCGAAGGCTGAAGCACAGCATTGCTTCCGGTCGCGGCAGGAGTTTCGGGCACAAGAGCCCCTCTCTGCTTTCAGACCTAGTGCAACCACAGAGCATGACCGGATCAGTCCTGGCCTTTGGGCCTTTAGAAATCGAGGCATATTCAACGTATTTCTGTAACATTAATTCTTTTAGATTGCAGCTCAAGATGGCATGACTCGTAAGGGGATCCTCCGTTTATAATTATTGCGCTTTAAAACAATTTCGCCGTTTGTACACGGTTGTCCTCTGTGGTTTTTATCTTCTCATCAAGAGCGTCTTAAAAAAGCCGATTGTGGGACATGTTAATTTTGGCCACTGCTTTCAGAAAGTACTTGTTACGGGTGCTTAGATAATGCTCTTCCCAAGAACACACAAATTAAGACAATCGCCACACATGGATACTATACGCTGTGAGGCGCATTTGTGAGTGGAGGATTCATTTATGAATGTGCGGTAGAAAAGATAACTTTCAGCTGATGAGATCACGCAGAGTAAACCTTATGGAAGAAGTGCTCACGATTGTGCTGTGGTCTTAAATCTGCAATGCTCTTTTAACAGGAGCTGAAGTCGAAGATGCAGGAGGCGATGACCCAGGAGGTGTCCGATATCTTCAGCGACACCACCACTCC